TTTCCATGGCTAAGTGAGAACTCCATGAAAGATCATCGGAAATGCCGCGTATACGCGCGCAATGAAGTCCGTGAAATAACATCGGAAAAGCTCCAGGTGACTGGAGAATCGGAATGTTTGAGGCAGTGAAGGTAATCACGCCAGAATTATCTGTCTTCGGTTGTGGAACAGTGGATCCATGTAAATACGTTATTCCAGGTGAGTAAATTGTTCTACTGTGAGTACGAGGCGAGCTGAAGCCATTTGTTTAGACCCCTGGTGGTAGCTTTTCCAGAATGGCGGAATGAGCTCCATTTGGAACGATGTGTGGGTTCTTCATCTCCCGGAGAAAAGATCAAGCATGTAAACCAGCTGGCTATTGAGGGACGGTCGACCAGTCTCAGTGGATAAACCTTCTTGTTTTGGCGGATGTATCTGTTGAAATCTCGGGAGAAAACGGGCAACGGACAAGAGGCAGCCAAACAGAAAGACAGCAATGAATCAAAAAGCACAAACGCAGACCGGTGGCGCGCAACGGTGCCTATGATACATTAAAATTTATGTAATTTTGTTTAGTATACATGATTTGCAAGCGCGTTCTTTACATCACGTCGCTGGTGTGACTCAAACTACAACTACTAGGTAGAAGGAAGGATCTGCACGCGCAGGGTCAAGTGACGGATATAACAAAGCGAGTTGACAAAGTTAAGCGATTAATTTGATTGTTGGAGAGTAACAGGTAAACCGACGACGATAACAGCAGTCCGAATGCGAGCGGCATCTTAGGTGAAACTAAGGACAGCTAGGTTGAGACCGAATGCGGGAACAACATAGGTAAAGCAACGTTCCAAGAAGAAAAGGAAATTTAAAGAATCAGCTATGAGCGGAAGATTGCGGACGGCAGTGCGAAGAGTAACTCGTGAGAGCAATTAGGAGACGATAGTCAGGATGAAAAAGTTTTACCACTAAAGTGTGGTGAAGCCAAGGACGCTCTCGTGCGAAGTATGAATCGATCAGTTCTGAAAAATCAAAGGTAATATCCCGGTGGAAACGTTCCAACATGCCGTTGGATTGCGGGTGCTAGGCGGTAGTCCGGATGCGTTGACATCCGAGGACTTTGTGAAGATTGTTAAAGGTCGAGGATTCGAACTGCGGCCCGCGGTCGGTAGTCACGGTGGCTGGACAGCTATGTGAAGCGACCCAGCGCTCAACGAAAGCGCGCGTTACGGTGGTCGCGGATACGTCGGGTATAGGTACGGCCTCGGGCCAACGGGTGTATCGGTCGATCATGGTCAGAATGTAGTCCATTCCTCTGGATGGTGCCAAGGGTCCAACTATGTCGAGATGGACATGGGCGAGGCGAGCTGAGACTTGCGGAAAACGACCAAGCGGAGCGGACACGTGCCGCTGTATCTTGGCCTGCTGACACGTTAGACAACCGCGTGCCCAGCGCTTAAGATCGCGTTGCATTCCGAGCCAAACGTATCTCTCGGATATGAGCTTGATCGTGGCTCGGATGCCTGGATGAGCGATGTTATGACGTGTGTCGAAAACTAGACGTCGAAAGGTTTCTGGAACGACGGGTCGAGGTCGTCCAGTAGAAGTGTCGCACAAGATTGTGCCATCAGATGACGGCAGTGGATGCGATGTGATTCGTAGCGAAGAATCTTGTTTGACGTTCTGACAGTCAGTGTCGGTTAGTTGCGCGGTAGCCATGGCAGATAAGTCGATTGCCTGGCCAGCGGTGTGGATTGCGGAGAAGCGCGAAAAAGCGTCAGCAACGACGTTATTCTGACCTGAAATGTGTCGGAGGTCAGTAGAAAATTGAGCCACGAAATCCAGCTGACGAACCTCACGTGGTGAGTGTCGAGCTGATAGATTTCGAAAGGCGTAAATAAGCGGCTTATGATCGGTGAAGATAACAAACGAATTACCTTCTAAGACGTGCCTGAAATGTCGGACGGTAGAATAAACTGCCAGCAGTTCGCGGCTGAACGTGCTGCACTTGACTTCTGCCGGTTGTAAGCGTCGGGAGTAGAAAGCGAGTGGTTTCCAGCATCCTTCAGTGAATTGCTGCAGGACGGCGCCAATGGCGGTGTCCGATGCATCGACTACAACGCTGAGTGGAGCTTTGGAGTAGAAATGGTGAAGCATAACGGCTTCAGCCCAGGCCTCTTTGCAGGCCTTGAAGGCTTCGGTTGCAGCGGGCGTCAACTCGACGTTGCCGTTTTGTGTCCACGAAGTAGGTCGGTCAATGGACTGAGCAAGTCGGCACAACGTGGCAGAAATCCACGGTAGTAGTTGATAATCCCACTAAAACGGCAAAGGGCGGCCAAAGTAGTCGGAACGGGAAAGTCCTTAATAGCGCTGACTCCGTCTTCGAGCGGCCGTATGCCATGCTGGTCAATTCGATGACCAAGAAATTCGATAGATGGTTGCTGAAAGATGCATTTGTCAGCGTTGACAGTAATGCTATTAGAGGCTAACCTCTCGAAAAGCATCTTGAGGTGCTCCGCGTGCTGTTCTTCGGAAGAACTAGCTACTAAGATGTCGTCTATATAAGGATAAACAAAGTCGAGACCTCTCGTGACAGAGTCTATGAAGCGTTGGAAAGTCTGAGCTGCGTTGCGAAGACCGAAGGGCATTCGCAAGAATTCGAAAAGTCCGAAAGGCGTGATGACTGCAGTTTTCGGAATGCCATCCTCGGCTACAGGGATCTGGTGGTAAGCGCGACTCAGATCTATCTTCGAGAACACACGGGCGCCACGTAGGCTAGCCGTGATATCTTGAATGTGCGGAATCGGATAGCGGTCGGGGACGGTAGCGTTATTGAGAGCGCGATAGTCGCCACGTGTACGCCAGTCTCCTGACTTTTTAGGCACCATGTGTAGATTCGACGCCCACGGGCTCTTAGACGGGCGAATAATGCCTAAGTCTAGCATGTGCTCGAATTCGGAGCGTGCAATTTGAGCTTGTCGGGGGTCATGCACATGGTTTTTGGGAACACAGGCGGACCTTTCGTAACGATGTGGTGTGTCGCGGCGTCGGTTGCGGAAGGCAACGGGACGGCAGGACGGAAGGCCTGCGGAAAACTATCGAGCAGCGTTTGCCCGACGGGTGAACTAAGTTGAGTCGCGTACACGGGAATGATTGACGCGGTGTCGGTCAAAGTCACAATGACTGCGAGATTCGTAAGGAGGTCGACTAGACGGCGTCGCTTAACGTCGACGAGTAGGTCGTAGTGACGTAAGAAGTCGAGACCAAGGATAGGCGTTTGAACACCAGCAACGAGGAATATCCATTTGAAAGCGCGTCGGAGGCTGAGATTTAGCGTGCGCGAGCGTTGACCATGTACGCGGATAATTGTCCCGTTAGCTGCGCGCAATGAGCTAGTCACCTTTTCGATCGGGTCGTTTGGCTCACGCGGGAGAACGCTGACTTCTGCGCCAGTATCGACGAGATAGCGAACTCCGGTTCTACGATCGGTGACGAAGAAAAGGCGACTGCGTTGACCAGCTACGTCCGTCGCCCCTACGTGCTGGTCCGCCCGTTTCCCTGCTGGTGTCGCTTGAAGGAACAGGGCGGGCGACATGATTTAACTTGCTGGCCGAATCGTTCGTGGTATCAGCAGTAACCGTTACCATTCGGTGATCGCGAAGGAGAGTTCGAACGTGAACGCGAACGGCTCCTAGAGCATTTACAGCGGTAATGTCCGGAGGCCGAGAAGTCTGTGAATTGTGGAGTCAATGTTGCCATCTGGGATTTAAGCGTGGCGATATCGTCGTCCGGTTTCGTCTGGACCTGCAAAACCAGGCCGTACAACTCCCAAATTCGGTCGGCTGTATCGGCCAGTTTGGATAAAGGTGCATCCTCACTAGCGCAGAGGATGTGTAGCATCTCGCGCGGAAGTCGTTGCAACCACATTTCCAAAAGAAAAGAATCATCTATCGAAGTGGGTTTAGCTAGGCTCTGCATTTTTCGAAGCGGCTGAGATGGCATAAGATCGAAAAGATCGGTTTCGTTGAGGAGTTTCGTAACTCGTTGTCGATCGGATAAGCCTGTTCTTCTCAGAACAGCTGTCTTGACTGCATCGTAAGTCTTTTGGTCGTCAGGAAGATCTAGAATGTCACCAATGTCATCGATGACATTTAGCGGAAGGGCGGAAACGACAAGGTGGAAGTTGGTCTTTTCGGACCTAATACCACGCAAAGAAAATTGCGACGCTAGCTGACCAAACCAAGACTTAGGAATAGTCTCGCGAAAGGGTGCGATAGGAAGCGTAACTTTGCCGACCTGAACGTCAGAATCTACGCGATCAGTTTCCATAGCGAGCAAAATAGCGAGCCAGCGAGATTAAACCGGAAAATGAAAAGTGAAAATCAGACGGGTTACCGAAAAAAATGTGGCCAAATCTGAAAACAAAGGTTAGCGAATACTCACCGGATAATGACCAAAAGTCGGGGTCACCAATAAAACGCGAAGCAGGATCGGTACGCTTTAGAACAAATACGCGAATATCAGGCCGACCTCCGATGAGTGGAGAACACCAAAAGTAACGCAAGAAAAAATTTATTAAATGGGGTGAAACGCTATCTAGTGCAAAAAATAAGGCACCGGAAGATAGCTAGCTAGGGGAAAGGTGTGGTCTCGTGCGCGGAGAGCAAAGATGGCCGCGGAGCCGATGAGCGTCGCGCCGTTCGAAGGCGGGTGCTTCGTTGACTCAAACAAACGCGAGCAACGTTCAAACAGGCGAACGGCTAATTTGCTATGTACATCGGGAAAATACAATTTTGTGATTTTGTAATATTTTACGCAGCATGCGGCAGCCAAACAGGGGAATCTCCAGGTCACTACACAGTAACTAGAATTAATTGAATAATTATTATAGTTCTAACTGATTGTTGTATACCTTTCACTTTCATTTTAGGTCCGTAAATTTTTGAATTATCGTTTTGTAATTCTACCTGATTTCCGCGTGCACCAGATTTCGGTTGAACGTTATTGCCTCATCCGCAATTCAGATTTGCGCGTATCGTGGGAGGGTCTTCCCCACTTTCGGCGCACGTGCTTGTCAAGTTGAAGTTCAAGTGCTGTTCAAGCTTTTGCCAGTCATTGAGGTTGACTTAGGTAAACATCAACACTTTTGGACGTCTGTAAATTCTTGTCCTCGTAATGCTTAAACTGACCTGCGTAAACAATGTGCATATGTTAACGAAACAGAGGTGAAGTACATCTATCTGGCTACGCACTATTGGGAGCGTATCCAAAGAGGTACTTGAATTCATTCGCTCCCAGTCTGCAAATAAGTGTTTGGTGATGGGCGACTTCAACCTCCCAGAGATTTGCTGGGCAGATCTTTCTTGCGACTCAGCGTCAGGCACTTTGGCGCTGATCTGCTTGAACTTACGCCCCAAGTATCTTTGCACCAGTTTATTGACCTCCCCACTAGGTACATGGACGCCCAAGTGCCGTCTATTTTGGACCTTGTATTCGCTAAGTCACTCGATTTTGTTGATGACATTACTTACGGACCTCCACTGGGTTCCAGTGATCATGTTTGTTTGCTCTTCAATTGTACTCTGTCTAGACGCTACCAGAGTACGGTTGAGTCTCGCCCGAACATATGGCAAGCAGACTATCAATCAATGAGAGCCAAGGCTTCTGGTTTCCATTGTGAGATCTCAGACGACGATACTGTCCAGGTTGCCTGGGATAAATTTAAGTCCTACCTCACAGAGGTCTCTGCTCCCTTCATACCAGTCACAAGGAGAAAGGAGGCCCGAGCACAGCCGCCCTGGATAGATCCCACTGGCAGGCATCTGCTCACAAAGAGGTCTAGATGTTGGCGGACTTACCGAGACGCTCCGTCCACCGATACTTATGACAGATACCGTAAAGCTAGAAATAGGTGTAAGCAACACCTAAGGGATGCTCGGCTCATTTTTGAAAAAGCGTTAGCGGACGATGCTTCAGAGTATCCAAAAAGATTCTTCGCTTATGTCAAAAAACGCTGCGCTTCGAAAATGTCAATTCCAGTGTTGATGCGTGATGACGGTACTCATGCGCATACGGATTATGACAAGGCCTGCGTACTCAGTGGGCAATATGCGGCAGCGTTTGTAAGGGAAACCTCTTTGACAGGCGTTGAACTGGTTTGCAGAATCCCAGAGGGTTCACGACTATCTGAATTTATTGTAGCGGAGACGGAAGTTCGTAGGCTGTTACAAGGGCTGAACCCTTCTAAGGCCTCTGGGCCTGATTTAATTCACCCCAAACTGTCACATGGGTTCGCTGCGTAACTAAGTATGTATGTATGTATTCTCAACAGTCTATTAGCTAGACAAAGAGCCAGCCCAAAACCATGGAGATAAGCAAGATTCATGGCGTCATAATCATCGTGGCATGCTAGTTGAAGGTGAGCAACACACTTCAACTAATATGCCGCAGGAAGAATGGAACAGTTTGATAAAAAGCAGAACAAAACATTTTTAGTTTGTTTTTCACACGCCGCTTTTGTTCTTTTTTGTCATTTTAATGTTTGTAGAATTAAACATGTGAATCAATACAATAATGTACACAATTCTTCCACTGATTCCGGTTGCGGGCCATATCTTCAAGAGTGCTAAGCCATTGGCACTCCTCATCTTTGGGTCCCCATCCTGGAAGACGTACGGATTCTACAGCGGCTAGACACGACGTCAGCGATTTCATGTGCTGCCGCCAAGTGGAAGGCTGACCACCACGCGGTCGTCTCCAGCCAGGTCCTTGACGAGCGAATAGAGCGCGACGCGGTAGACGCTCAGGTGCCATGTGTAGGACGTGACCGAGCCATCTCAACTGGCGCAACAAAACCAGTTTGTTGAAGGGAATACTCGCATTCCCCAAGATGCGACGTCGAACGTCATTACTATTAACTCGATGTTGCCACCAAACACGCGCGATCCTCCTTAAGCAACCGTTATCGAACGCAGAAAGACGACACATGTCTTCCACGCGAAGCGGCCAGGACTCGCACCCATACAACAATATTGAGCGAACTGATGCACTGTAAACGCGGCCCTTTAAAGAGAATGCGACGTCGCGACGACGCCACAAGTGCCTCAAATTGACAAATGCCGAACGAGCTTTAGCGATACGAAGAGAAACTTCTTTGTTGATAGTGCCATCAGCAGAAATACAGCTCCCAAGGTAGACGAAACTATCTACCTGTTCAAGTTGTGCACCTTCGAGAGTGAGTACGGGAGCAGGCGAATGCCAATCTTTGAGCAGTATTTTACACTTCGATGGGGCGAAGCTCATGCCATACTTAGATGCTTCAACCGCCAAACGATCCAGAATGAGTTGCATACCTTGAGGATCGTCACCAAGTAAGGCGATATCATCAGCATAATCTAAGTCGGTCGCGCGCTCACCCGGTAGAAGCTCTAGGCCAAAATGTTGGAAACCTTCTAGAGCATTCGACAGAACGTCTTCGATTGCGAAGTTGAAGAGGAATGGGGACATAGGGCAGCCCTGTCGCACGCCGCTATTGACAGTGAATTGCGAGGAAAGCTTGCCATAGACCCTCACTCTGCCGGATGTATGAAGGTAAAGTGCTCGTAAGATGGCGGTATATTTCTCTGGCACCCCGTTCTTTAGTAAGCAACGGCATAAAGCAGGTCGATCAACGGAGTCAAAAGCGGCACGTATGTCAAGAAAAGCAATGATAGTGGGCCTGTGATAAATGTGGCGATGTTCGAGGAGCTGGCGGAGCGTGAAGATTGGATGAACTGATGGATGGTGGAGGCCAGTTGAATTGCGAGTGAAAGTGCTCGGCCCAACGGTCCATACGCCTCTGTTGGTTGGTGATCGGAGACTCATCCACCTCACAAATGACCTCACTGACACCAGGTTTCCTGAGGCCAGTGGACCGAATGAGTTGGAAAAGCCTGCGAGTGTTGCCAGAGAGGGCAGCGGTCTCCATCTCTAAAGCACGTTCAGACCACCATGTCTCGCGATCCTTGCGTAGACTTTGCTTGAGCAGCCGGTTGGCAGAACGGCGCCGCTCGTTGCAATCTGCTTCCGCGGGTATATCTTTGCGGCGTTCGAACAGCTCCAGAGAACGAGCAGAGATCCAAGCCTTCAATGGGCGTCGAGTTAGGCCGCAGCATGACTGTCCGGAAATGGTCATTGCCTTCCGTATACAAGTCCAGTGTTGTTCCACTTCTTGCGGTGGATTGCAACTGAGTGCATATGCCAATGAAGACTGATAGCTCGTCTGGACAGAGGAATCAGTTAATCTGTTTACATCAATCTTGCGGTGCTTCGTGTTTCGGGATCCTCCAAAACACATACAGATTTTCGCGCAGACCAGAGCATGATCTGAGTCAACGAATGTGGACCAAAAGGACCTGCAGTCTAGTACGCTGCCGCGCCATCTGAAGCTAATTGCAATGTGATCAATTTGAGATCACGGTTGTGTTGGAGAAGGGGGACGCCACGTTGCGGAACGCTTCTTTGTACGCCTGAAGTTAGTGCTCGAAAGAAACAGACGGTTGTCTTCGCACAATGTGAGAAGTCTCTCTCCGTTATCAGAGCGGTTCTCATCGAGCGCGTGATGACCACCAAGGTGGCGTTCGTATGGTAACAAGCGGCCAACCCGTGCATTAAAATCCCCAGCAAGGATAACGACATCCGACTTTTTAGCATTAGTCAAGAGCTGTGTTAGATCCTGATAGAATTCGTCCTTGACCGAGTCGCCACTGCAGTCAGTTGGAGCGTACACGGAGATCACAAACAAGTTGTGTCTTTCTTCGCGGTGCCTGTTGATTCTACACGAACCCCGAAGCCGAACTGCACATAATCGGCTGTTGATAGGGAACCAGTCCAGTAGTGCCGCCTCGGCCTTGTCACTTAGTGCTATACCTACACCAGCCAGACCCGCTGAAGCTGCTTCTGGATCTCCAGAAAGACGTAGGTGATATCTGGCTTCGTGGTCAGTGGGGGATGTCAGTGTAGGCACAGTGCTGGGATCTTGCAATCGGGTTTCTGAAAGACAGCAGACATCAATGTCTAGGGAATCTAGAGTGCGCGCTAGACCGGCTTGCTGTCCAATCTGCATGAGTGTCCGAACGTTGAAGCACGCCAGACGGAAGGAGAATCGGGGACGACGGAGAGCCATGGGTTGAACCTTTTGGTCTGCGGCGCAACCGGAATCGCAGCCAGATTGCTGAGCACATGAATCGGGTAAAGGAAAGTGAGGATTGTTAACAAACAGACAATTGGCGTGTGATGTCGCGTGAAAGTGACTAGCAGAAACAGCAGCTGATGAGCAAGTTGTAATACAATCCATGGTTTTGCGAGAGGGCGTGATACTACCCGGTTGCCCAAGCCGAAGTAGGGAGTTGACTTAGGGGACTCCACCCCGAGCCTTTGGCTAAATAACCTACCCGCAAGGCAGCGGGGCGAATTTAGGGAATCGCGCCCATTGGGAGGCGTTGACTGAATGTTCAGTTCATGCGTCTTTGTTTGGTAGATTACCAAACAGGGGCCCAATACTCCCCATATAGTCAGCACACCTGCTGGAATACAATGTCCCACCGAGGTGGAACATTGTCGCCGAACACTTTGCTGGAACGGGGTACACCTGAACCACCCAGCTGGCACCACGAGGAGGTAGTTCGGCAAGCCAGCCGCGTAACTAAGTGGACCGCTCGCTATTGTGTTTCAGAAATCGCTTGACAGCTGTGCATTGCCTTCCGAATGGAAGGAAGCTGTGATCTGTCCCATCTTCAAAAATGGGGACAAGAGTCTGCCAGCAAATTACAGGCCAGTTAGTCTGACAAGTGTAGTAGTCAAACTCCTCGAGAAACTGGTGAGAGGTTCATTGGAGAGTCACCAGAGAGCGGACGTCGCTCTTTATGTGAGCTGTAAACTTACGTTTTAAAGATTTGCTTATTTGTCAGCAGACAAAACTGTTGAAGCTCTGTCGGCTGTTATTACCACATCCTGGGCTCAGGTTACAGTTGTAATTGTGTATAGAAGCCTTGATAAAGTGTCCAAAGAGATACTTAACTTCATTCGCTCGCATTCCGCAAACAAGTGTTTGGTGATGGGCGACTTCAACCTCCCGGAGATTTGCTGGGCAG